AACTCAGGTTCTCCTGACTCCAAGGCTGGAGCTCTAACCACTGTGCCACCTAGCTGCCCCAATCCCTTCTTCTCTACAAAGGTCCTGTACTACCTGCAGCACAAGAGCTTGGTTATCCCTGCTAGAAATAGTGCAGGAGGCACTCAGCTGCTTGAAGGTTTAATGTTACATCCTCTCAAATCCTGACTTCATCCAATAAATGTACTCTATATTATGAATGTTTTCCTTTGGGTCTCACACACATAAGTTGGAGAGAGATAGGAATCTCAGTGGGATGGGAGCTGTAAGATATGCTACTGCTTTTTCACTTTAAATCCTAGATTGGGCAAAAGAGGAGCCCAAACAGGCACTTCAAGGTTGGGAGTGCGTATGTAGTGCATATGCAGAAATCCAAGTAAACAGTCTAATTTTGCACATGCCTGAAAGAGGTTTGTGTCAAGTAGCCTGACCTCAGGGCGCCACCTGCTGGCATATTGGGTCCCCAGAGGGTGCCTGCTACCTGTGGTTTTGAGAACAGGGGTTTTTGTATTTTTGTTTTGTTTTGTTTTTAACCTTTCTTTATATCCTCAATGCTGGCACATAGTAGACTTTTTAATAAATGCTTGCTGACTTGACTTGACTCAACTAATAGTCAAATATGACTAGACTATAGAGTGAACAGAGGGAAGTAACATAAAAGACTTGAGAAGATAGGAAGGTGCCAAGTGAGGTGTTTTAAATGCCAAACAGAGTAATTTATATTTAATAACCCTAAATTTAATAAGAAGTCACTGGAGTTTACTGAGTAGAGGGTTGATATGATTTAGGAAAATAACTTTCAAAGTTTTATGAAGAATGGATGGAATGAGGAAAGACTAGAGGTAAGGAAAAAATTAGTTGACTGTTGGAATAGTTCAGGCAAGAAGTGATGAGGGCCTGAACTAGAGCAGTGGCTATATGAGTGGAGAGAAGAGGATGTATATGAGAGATGTAGAGATAGGAATGACAAGATTTGGCATCTGGTTGGATATGTGTGACAAGGAAAAATGAGAAACTGAGGGTGGCACCGTTAGTGATTGAAAGGACGGTGGTACCATCAACAGCAATGGGGAAGTTCAAAAGAACAGTGGGTTTTAGGGGAACAAATGAGTTCTGGTTGTGATATGTTGAGTCTGAGATGCCCAAGAGACATCGATTTGGAAACATATAATAAGAAGTTGGTAACAGGTGACTAAAGCTCAAGAGAAAGACTAGAGATGGATATATAGAACTGGGGGATCATTTGCATGGAGAAGATAATTGAGTCTGTAAGGGTCATCAGGAGAGAAAGCAGAGAGAAAAGAAGGCTCAATTCTACCACAGTTAGTGGGCACAACAGGGATGAAGATCTAGCAAAGGAGAATGAGAATGATACAGGTAGGAAGAGAACCAAGAGAAGAGAATCATGAAAACCCAGAGAGTACCCCAGGGGAGAATGCCAGATGCTACAAGGATGTCAAGAAGGACAAGGACTGAGAAAAGGCCATTCAGTTTGGAAATTAAGAGATGACTGGTAACTTTGGAAAAAGCAGGTTCAATTGAAGGAAGAAGTTGGAAACCAGATTGCAGAGTTCAGAAAATAGTAAGAGGAAAGGAAGAAAAGGCATTGAATATAGAGAGCTTTTCCAGGGTGTTTAGTTGAGAAGAGGAGGAGAGATACAAGATAATCACTAGTGGGAATGGTAGAACAAAAATAGTAAATGGAGAGTTGAAATGAAACATAAGTGACAAAATGGTACATATAGCTGTCTTCAATGACTGAAGTGCCAGGCTCAGATGAATTACATCTCAGAGTACAAGAAAGGGGGGGCAAATGTAATGTGAGAGCTATTGTCAGTGACTTCTGAAGAACTGTGGAAAAAGAGAGGTGCTATAGGATTGAAGAGAGGCAAAAATCTCAATTTTCAAAAGAAAAAGAAGTGAGAGGGTAGAATTTTCAGATTATATGCTAGTTAGCTTAATTTGGTTTCCTAGCAAAATTCTGGAATATATTATTGAAGGGATGACTTGTGGGTATATATAAAAGGAAGTGATGGTCACTAAAAGCCTGTATGGATTCATTGGGAATAGACCATGCCAAGTCTTTAAGAGTTTCATTTCATTTTAGGTAAGGTTATGAGACTAGTAGCTCTAGGAAGTGCCATGGATTTCAGCAAGGCATTAGACAGTTTCTTTTGCTAACATCAGGGAAAAGATGAAGAGATGTGGACTCAATAATTCAATTTGGAAACAATTGAAGAAAAAGATTATAAAAGTCATGATCAATTGATCCATGTCAGACTCAAAAGTGCGTCTCTAATATAGCATTTCAAAGTTTTGAACTGGTCTTGTTCTATTTAAGATTTTAATCAATGACTTAGATGAAGGAGGAGATAGAATACAGATCACTTTTATAAATGACATAAATTTGGATATAGGATAGATAATATGTTGCGTAGGCTCCAAAATTATCTCAACTTAGAGATATTCCATTTAAAATAATTATAGAAGTATAAAATACTTGGTAGTCTACCGGCCAAGACTCTATAGTTAGAGTCAGGAGCAATATGAACACAATTACAAAACATTCTTTGTACAAATAAGGACAAATCTAAATAAATGGAGAAATAGACTGAACTGATATAATAAAAAATGAAAATACTGCCTAAATTAATTTATTTATTCGGTGCCATACCAATCAAGCTACCAAAGGATTACTTTATAAAGCTAGAAAAAAAAGAATGACAAAATTCATCTGGAGGAACAAAAAGTCAAGAATATTGGAAGAATTAATGAAAAAAAGTTAGAAGGAAGGAGGCATACCAGTACCAGATCTCAAACTATTGTTATAAAGTAATCATCAAATATACTATACAAGTATATATAAATATGCAAACATACTACATAAAGTACAAATATACTACAGTAATTATCAAAACAATTTGGTACTGGGTAAGAAATAAAGAGGCAGCTAGCTGGTGCAGTGGAAAGAATGCCAGACATGGAGTCAGGAAAACTCATCTTCCTGAGTTCAAATCTGAGTTTAGACACTAGCTGTGTGACCCCAGGCAAGTCACTTAACCTTCTTTGCCTCAGTTGCCTCATCTGTAAAATGAACTGGAGAAGGAAATGTCAAACCACTCCAGTATCTTTGCCATGAAAACCCCAAAAGGGGTCATGAAGAGTCAAACATGATGAAAAACGACTGAGCAAGAAATAAAGAGGTTAATTAGACCTGAGTTCAAATTTGATCTCAGACACTTACTAGCTGTGTGACCCCAGGCCAGTCACTTAACCTCTGTTTGCCTTAATCCACTGGAGAAGGACATGACAGAAGGACGTGGACATGGAGAAGGACATTCAAGAAAACCCCACAGGACAATAACAGTATTGATGTGCTATGGTTCTGGGGGTCATAAAAGAGTTGAACATGACCGAATGACTAAATAACAACAAGCAGTTCAATATGACTTAATATGACAGAGCAGCCCAAAAAAATCCACCATGATCTCAGGCTGCAGTGATAGATGCATAGTATCTAGAATGAGAAAGGTAATAATCCCATACTACTCTATCCTTGTCAGGCCACATGTGGAGTATTGGGCTTAGTTCTGGGCATCATATTTTAGGAAGGCCATTTAACAGATGAATAAAAGAAGCCAAGAGAAGTTAGATGACTTGACCAAGGTCACACAGCTAGTAAGGGGCCACAGTTGGGATTCAACTCCAGGCCCTTCAACTCTAAAATCTAGGATTCTTTCCATGCTACCATTTCTCTCTCTAGATGACTTCTGAGGTCCGTTTCAGTTCTGTGATACTGTGACTCTGTTGTTCAGCAGATGCAAATACATACTTTTCTCCCTCTCCATTTTTAACGTATGTGGTCCTCTTAAGCAGTTATAAGCTTTTAGTATATAATTTAGCCCTTTTAAGTTCAGTCCCCAGACAAATTCTTCCTATACTTTGTAAGATGTATTCCATTCCTAGCTAAGAGCTTATTTGTTGTCATTACTCTAGCTTTTTAACACATCGCTGTGTTCATACCACCACTCTGCTCAAAACAAACAAAATAAAACAAAACATTTAGGGGTTCCTCATTGCCTACCAAAAGAAATATAAACACCTTATCCTTGCATTCAAAGATCATTGTAATTCAACTCCAATTTATCTTTCCAACCTTTTGTCACCTCTTTATAATCTGTGCTACTTAACATTTCTTCATCTCTAGTCTTTCTACCTTTGCTCATATAATCCTCCTTGTCTAGAATGGATTCTCATTGTTCCAACCCTACTCATTTCTGTCTTTTGAAATCATTCAAAGTTCAATTCAGGTACAACCCCCTCCATGAAGCCTTCTCTAATGCCCTAGCTGAAAGGAATTGCTCCCTCCTCAGATTTCTCAGATCATTATGTGTGGATCTCTCCTTTGCATGATCACGCTCTTCTGTGTATTATAGTTGTTTATATATCTTGTGTCTATATTGGATTGTATGCTCCATGAAGGCACATGGCTTCTTTCATCTTTGCATGCCCAGTATTTAGTATAGTGCCTTACACAATAAGTACTAAATGTTTATTGAATCCTTCTTCTTTCCTTCAACACCCCAAAGGTCTCCTAGCTTATTCCACTAAGAGTGGACCAGTCAGGCTAAGTCTTACCCCAGAGTTAAATAAAAAATCTTGTTCTCTGATTTGTAGAACCTTATCCTAGAGCTGAGAATGGAGAAGTGTCTCTCTGTTGAAGTCTAGAGTCAAGGGAAGAAGGGCTCTAGCCTCATTTCCCAGAAACTCTTACTTTTTGTCAGATCTATATCTAAGTATTCTTCAATCTGTAATAGGACTACCTTGCTAAACATCCCTCATCTGCCACTCCAAGGCCCCAGCCCCAACTCTGACTTAAGTCAGTAAGACCTAGCCCACCAGGGACCTAGTCTGTGGCCAAGTCCACAACAGACCCTCCAAATGTTAGGTTATACTTTGTTCCCCCTACCAAAAAGCCCTACCTGTGGCACCATGTTCTTGAATGACTCCATAATCTTAGAGCTCTTGGCCTCCTGGTAATAGGAGAAACAGCCAGTGATAATGACCACGCCTGCCAGCACCAAGCCCAAAAACAGCTGGAGAATAGGAGAAAGCAGGTCAAGCCAGCCTTGTCAATCTTTCTGTCCACAGGAAGGCAACTAACACTGACTAGCAATGGGCCTGACATGAAATCCCAGTTTCCCCAGAGCATCATGTGGAGGAAATAACAGACAAGGGATCTGAAGACCAGAAGTAAAGGGAGGATGGGAACAGGGGAATGAGAGGAGTCAGACTTAGCTAGAGTAATAGTAGATCCCGGGAAAAAGCCTAGGGTTGGGCAGGGACTTGGAAGGGGGAGGGAGGAAGCAGAGGACAGAGAAGGTCAAACTTTCTAGTCTTTGGGGGCAAAAGAGTGTTTCCTCAGGATCCTAAAGGGGGGAAAACAGGTTGGGAAATACTGGGGTGATCAGATGAGTTGATGAATAAAGGGCAATACTTTCTCATTGAACTGAGTCATAGGGTTCCTTGGGTAGCAAAGGGGAATGGATGTACAAGTTAGGGAAACTGAGGCCATTGGGGGATGGGCTCATTTAGAGGGTGCCTAGGAGTTCAGGGGCTTGAACCAGGTAGCTGGACTAGAAAGACTTAGGGGCTAGGCTATGGAAGCTGAGTGGGAGGATCTAGTAGGTATCAGGTATCCAAGCTCACATTGTCTTTCTCAGTTTTCTTAAATAAGACGCACTGAATGCTGAAGGCCACAAAACAGAGTAAGGAACCAATCCACAGCAGGATGGAGAAGCCCCCGAAAAGTTGACGACAGAACTTGATCCACTCAGGAGTGGTGGGGGGTGGGGTGAGGGTGTTGGGCCCGTCCCGGAGCAGGATCTCCTTTGCTCGTTTGTTGCTGAGACCCTGGGTGGAGGGGTGATGATGGGGTAGACAAGGAACCCATGAAAAAAGCCAAGAAACCACCGGCAAGAAGGAAAGCATCACAGGGTAGTAAAAAGAATAATGGATTCAGGCAAAAGACCTAGTTCTTAGCTCTGCCTATGTTTGCATGTCACTTAAAAGTTCCTAATCTTTTAAAAATGTGGGTAATAATATCTGTTCTGCTTACCTTGTGGGATTATTGAAGCTCAAATGAAAAAACTGATGTTAAAGTGCTCTGTGAATTGTGAAACACTATAAAAATATAGGGTATTGTTGTCATGATTACAGCTCTATCTAACAAGGGCTCCCAATCCACCGAAAATCCA